GGGGGGGGGGGGGGGGGGGGGGGCCACGTAAGACAGGTTCCACAGAAAAGAGGTCATATAAAAACGATGTAAAACGCCAATTTGAAGCGCGAAAATTTTACCAATATGCAAGTGGAAAGTACGCATCTAAAGTATGTTCAAGGATGTGATGCAACGCAATCCGATCGCATCTCACCTTTGCTTACGAATGACTTAGTGATCTTTGGTTTCATTTCTTCGAATGTATTCCACACAAACCTTCTATCAACACCGACATTGTTTCCTGAAAGTAGACTTTCAAAAGTGTAAAAGATTTATTTGACAGTTCGATTTAATTTCATTTAAATATACTTGCGTGTCAAAATCTCAGTTCATGGAAAATCCCAGATATCTTTTCCTTACACAGATAACCTTCAATACCACTTTGTAAATTATGTGAAAATTACAATCACACAGGGCAGTGTAACTTGGAAATGATACTTGGAAACAGCGGTAATCTCATTGTGAAATTCATTTTGATTCCGTAAGAATCGAAATTTGTTTGAAAAACTTTCTTTTTTGACATTTCGAATTCACACCATGAATCAATATTTTTTTTGTCCTACACATTTATTATTGAAAGATCTTTGTTTATGTCTCAATTTCTTCAGGAAGACTGGCTCTCATTAACAAGACAATCGAGGCGTGGTACACAAGTCCTCACTCGTTTAACAAAAGTGTCGTAAGGAAACTGGATGTCGTGATTAAGTCAATCGAAGAGCTCTCTTTGCAATTTAAGAACACGTCTGAAACGATAAAGGCATTGGCTATGCCAGGTATGCATCTTTAAAATAATTTTCACTTGTGTGTTGTAAGCAATGTAGGATTGCTTGATTTTGCTTTACCTTCCTATGCAAACTCGCATCACCCTAGCTAGCCGATCAACTATTATGATGTAAAAATAATCATGGTACAATCAGAGAAGAAAGCGGCGTTGACAAATAAAAAAACTGAGTAATTCTTCAGTTGCAGGATACGCTCTACAATTTCCGCAGAGAGGAACCAGTGATTACGTCATCGTCACACGTGGCATGCCAAACCTGTCAGCTGTAACGGTTTGTCTGTGGATGAAAACCGCTGATACTAGAAATGAAGGAACACTCCTGAGCTATGCTGTATCTGGAGAAAGCAACGAGCTTC